CTCACATGGTCACTTCACTTTTTATATGTCACTGTGTCATGGGTGATGAGGATTCACTGGGAATCTGCTTTGTGTTGTGATAGCCTCCCCTGAAAATTTGTGCAGTGCTTCTTGTACTGGGGGACATGGGTCCTTCCCATCAGATACTTTAGCATAGGCACCGCTTTGTTTTGTTTCTGAGCATCTCTACCTCTTGCACCTAGTTTAGTGCCAGACATGTAGTAGGTGGTCAGTCATCAACATCTACTCAGTGTGCGCCATGGAAGCTGTGATAGCCTCAATGAGTCAGAATGTTCACTTTATTTCTGCCCTTGTTCCTGGAGTTAGTATAGCAAAGGAGATGGGGTAATTGTGGGCTGGTGTTAATACCTGTCTTTCAGACTGGTCAGGTCTAATGAGTGTGATCTTTTTATTGGAAAACTCATATTGGTTAACCTTTCAACACACACTAACTTCTGGCAGTGAGTGGTTTTGAGAATTTAAATCCTGAAAAGTACCAACAGAGACACCATGGGCTGATGGCTTTGTCCTGAACAGATTTAGTAATCCTAAATTGTTTCAACATTGTTCGTGTTCTTGGTTTTGAGTTAGAGTGGCAAGAGAGGCAGCAGTGGGTAATGACACTGAGTCAAGAAAGGCAGGAGTTAAGTAGCGCTCTGTGCCCCATTTAATAAAGTGTGTTATAGCCACTGCCACAAATTTGATTTGAACAATTTCTATTTTTTCCCAGAAAAGATGTTATTATAGGTCAATCATTTCCATAAGTGAGAGCACATTTCTGGTGTATACTACACTGACAGATGGCTAGAAGACCTCTCTTTCATGATCCCAGGTGGGATAAAAAGGCAATTTACTATCTATAAGACTGTGGGTACACTGGTAATGGAAGAGAATCATTCTTATACAAATAACTCAGTGTTTGAATCTGAACTATCAAATGAATCTGAGCTATAGCCAAATCAATTTGATAAACCATCAGAATATGATTGGGCTGGCTCCAGTCTGCAAAGGCAATGCATTAAATTTTCCCCATAGGAAACTGTTTCCCAAGGAAACAGAAATTGCTTGATTGCTGAGAAAAAGCTTGAGTGAGTTCAGAATATGAGGTGAAAACTTAGATGGCTGCTGATGTTCAAGGTCAAGACTCACAAGGGGGAATGAGGCTGCCAGCCCACCACCATGGAACTCCATGGAGCTGGTCTGATGCCCTTGGTTTCTCTGCACCAGTTTCTCTTTGTAATGGAACAGCTCATTCTTGCACTCTCAGGTGGCTCTGCACTCTCAGGTCCAGAAGCTCCTATTCTTACTAAAATAGAAGTTTTACCTTTAGGAAAGGAGCTGTCATCGGTTTAGATGTACTTCCTAACCCCCCTCCCCTACAATCCCTTCTATGTATCTGCTGGGTGCACAGGATAAGTCTGTGAGGGAGGAAGATTCACCAGTCAGCTAATGGAGGAGCTCTTTTGGAGACTGGACAAGGCTTCCCAATCTTCAGAGTGGTCCCTGGACCCAGCAGGATCAATTCCACAAAGGAAGGTGTTAGAGATGCCAATTCTTAGGCCCCGATCCTGACCTGAAGAATCAAAAATTCCTGGCTGTAAGACTTAAAAGACCTCCAGGTGATTTTGATGTACAACCAAATTTGGAAGCACTGCTATGGGGCAGTTGCAAACCACTTACAGCCACAGAGGTAGCTCAGAACAGAGTTTTACTTGGAATTCTTCTGAGATGACTTACCCAAGATTTGGCTCCTTCCTATTGACAGCATGTACCCAATGACCATTTCAGTAGCGGCTTGGCCCCTTTCTCAATTCAGTACAACTCTGAAGACCCACGTGCAATCCAGAGAAGCCCCTCCTTTTGGGATCAGCTGAACCTTCTGTTGCAAATGTATCACAGCTCAGTATCTCCCTGAGGAAGACTTCTGCTTCTACCAAACATTTCCTACAAACACTGAGGATTTTTTTCAGTAAACCTCCTGGATTGTGTCTTATTTGAGAAGAGGGGAATCTGACTCAAGGCACATCCATCACCTTGGCTTGAGCAGCATCTACCCTGGGCTGAGCAGTCGGCCCAAGCATTCTCTCCTAGCAGCTGGGGTGGGCTGGTCTTCTGCATACCTAACACAAGCAGCCCTCAGGCCGGGGGAAGCAGAACATGGATTAGGCCATTCCTCTGTCTGCATCCTGGGGCAGCAGGTGTAAAGGATTAAAAGACATTTGGACTAGCCTGACAGGCCCAGAGGGAAGGCTTGATGGAAAAGTGAGGGGAGGATATGAAAGCTAACAATTATAGGCTGGGCTTTCCACCAGGGTCTTGGGCATCTATCTTCATACATTGAGATGAAAGAGTTGAGAATGTATTATTATTCTTAATCTTTTTTTTGGTACCAGGGATCGAACTCGGGTCCTTGTGCTTGTGCAGCAGGTGGAGAAACCACTGAGCTAAATCCCCGGCCCTATTATTCTTAATCTTTAAAGTCATGAGCAAAGCTTCTTAATTCCACTGGATTACTCCATACATTTTATTCACTGAACTATGCCCATGTATGTTCCTGTGGTAAAAGGGATGCAGCAATGGACCTGTTGCTTGTGGACCCAGCTGACTGTTCCTGCTGGTGATGTCCTTCTGTATAGCTGCATCCACAGCAGTGCTGGCTGGGAGATTTGCATTTTGTGTTTTGTATTAAATATTCTGATGATATAGGTTGTACAGTACCTTGGTTCAGAACCTGCTTATGCCACCTCAGGAGATATTCTGTGGTGTGTTCACGTATCACCGATTTGTATTCTTAGGCCAAGAAACTGGTGTTAATAATGATTTTCCCCTCTCTTTTACTTCACCATTAGTTACAGGAGACTTTACTGATTAACTTTTAGACTTTCAAGTAGATGTATTCATGGGAAGATGGTGTGGTGGGAACACCTGGGAATGGGAGGCAGAAGAGCTAGTTTCTTGCCCAAGCTCTGTAACTTACAGCTGTGGTGCGATCTCTAAAGGATCACTTTCCTCTCTTTGGCCTTGGTTTCCTCAGCTGGCTAACATGAGCCAGGGTCATGCCCAATGTAAACATTTTCAGGAGCAGACAGTAGCTTAAGTTGCTATTGAATCAGGATTGCACCGGTCACAGGCCACATATGGAAATGATGACATCTTCTGAACAGATAGTGGTACCTATGTAGGAACATCCAGTACTCTTGGGACTTATAGCTGAGCGAAACTAAAAAAATGCCATGTATCCAAAGTATATCAGAAGTGCTTTGTCGAAGTCCATTTGTTTCACAAGTACTCCAAGAATAGGGAAACTTAAGCATTATAAGGTGTAAATAATTTGTATTCTTGAACACTTGGACTATATGGCTGGCATTATCTATTTGTTAGGCCCGTGTTCTACTTTGTAAAGTGGGACCTGGTACATTAAGGTGTATATTTAATTATTCTTTGAGTCCCCTTCACTCCACGAGGATATTAGCTTTCTGCAAGGAAGAATTTCTTTTATTTCCTGTACAACACACCATGAACCTGGTGATTAACATCTGTTCAATGAGTGAAAAAAATTTATGGGCCTATATGTGTGTATATATAATTTTAAGCATTAGATAATAAGAGGAAATAGATATTACTGGTTTTGCCAGTGTTTGGGTGAGGAAACAGGCTTAGAGGGGAGAAGGGGCTGGTTTTAAAATGGGCCGTCTGCTCTGGCACCCCAATGCTACCTCCTTTGGGATTATGCTACCTGTCTCAGGCCAGGCACCCTTTGAACTTGGTCAGGTTGGTAAATCTTCCTCAAAACATACATTTTTTTCACTAAAGGGACTGAATCCCATGTATGGGGTACACATACCCTTTATCATCAATAAACATTTGTAATTCCTGCTCTACCATACAGGGTAAAATTTTAGAGATACATAGATTGCAGCATGAAAGAGAATATAAACCATTTAGTGAAAACAAAAGTGATGCTGATAGATAGTAAATAGTAAGTAGATGGCGGGGGCGGGGGGAGAACCACATCTAGCCCATGCCCGTTAGCTAAAAAGTACAGTGTGTGGTCTCAGATGCCACGACTGACTTTAAACAGGACACATAGGAGCATGTAATAAAGCTTTATTTACGTATCTGTTCTTTTGCTCACCATTCTTCCTTGCATCTCATTCCTCCCTTATGAGTGTCTTTCTTCTTCATGAAGTACATTCTTCAGTAATTTAGTAGGTTTCATTTAGAGTTCAGGGAAACACGTTTAAAAATGCAGCCTCTCCTATACCCTAAGCTACAAGAGTCACTGATGACTGAGGTGGTCAGAGAGACTTGAAGAGGAAGCAGAACTCAGAATGGCTCTCAATGGAAAGGGCAGCATGCATCGGAAGGGAAGAGGGGGACAGGCACTTTGGGAAGGAAAGAGGAGAGTGGAAGTGCCAACAGAAGAAGGCACTGAATTTGTCCCAAGGGGTCTGGAAATAGCACCCAGAGATAATGAGCTTGTGGGGCTCCAGGAGTTGGATATGTGTGTAGGTCTCCTGAGTTTTGAGGGTGATGAAGGAGATGTGTTTTTCCTTCCAGGAAGACACATACAGCAGAGTGGTCAATCTGTACCACAAGCCAGGCCAGTTTACCTTTAAACCCTGCCATAAAACTTGCACAAGCTTGATGGAGTGAGTTAACCCCTCCAAAGAATTCAGTTTTTCCTTCTCTAAAATGGCAATAACAGCTCCTACTACCTGGGTTATGATGAGGATTAAATGGAAGATGCATCTTAATGTCTCAGCACACTGTCTGGCACTTGTCTAGGGCTCATTACATGTTATTATTATTCTTGCCATTTTATTGAGTCAGACCATGGATCATCCTTAAACTGTCCCTATACATCTTTGTAGGTGACATGAATAAAAATCAACCTGCATTGCCAGCCTGACCTTGGAAGCTTCTTTGAGCTGGAGAGAGTGGACTTCTAACTTCCACAAATTCAGCTCTTTTACAGGGAAAGAGAGGAAGTTACTCACAGAATGACTGGTCCAGAAGCTCCCTGGAAAACATCATTGGGCAGTTCTTCCAAATTATCATTATCACTTAGATTCCTGGGGATGGAGTTGGAAAAAGAAGAAGAGAAACACAAAGGTACATAAATACCGCTGTTTTAAGAGCCATTTCTCTCTAAATGGCCTGGAAGAACAGTCAGGGCTACTTACAGTTCATCTAGCTGGGTTCCATTGAATGCACAGTTGTGTATTTCTTGAATCCCATTTTTATTCAGCCATCTGAAATAAATGGACCATTAAAAAACCAATAATGTCGGATGCGAACAATACAAGGGTTTCATAATTGGAAGCACTGGGGCAAGGTCAGATAACACAGGTTAGTGGCATAAGTAAAACACCACCCTTAAAGCTCGGGGACAGCAATGGGGGGAGACTAATTTATCACTGAATAGCCTTTTGTAACTTTTGAAGTTTGTATTATGTGCATGTACTATCTACTCAGAGGAGTAAAGGAGGTTCACATTAAAAGGAATAAGTGAAATTTAATTTTAGAAAGGCACACTTAGGCAGTCGTGTGAATCCTGTGACTATAAGGTTTTTGCACACATCCCCTCATGCATAGAGAAGATGCTATGAGAGGAACAGGTGAAGATCTTTTCTGTCCTGCAGAACAGAAATTGTACAATTATTGAAGCAGTGCTTCTAAGACAGAGAAAGAGCATTGCGCGTTACCTTTGTCTAAGGCCTTAAGCCTTTCACCCATGCTCATCCACAGCAGTAATGTGGCTGTCATCAGAAAGTGATTTAATTAAGTTGTCAGACAACCTGAACATCTCCTGTGACCCATAGGGCCCTGGGTATTCCAGGTTTGTGGAGGTGGCTCTGGGTTAAGCCAGAAAGGAAGAGAAATCAATTACAGGGACCATAGGCTGTGGCTGGGTGAGGTGGTGTATGTGGTCATGGGGAGGCTCTGGGAGAGATGGGCTCATTGTGGAAAGGTTGGGGGAGGTTTGCTTGCACCTTGGACCAGCAGCTCTACTTTGTTCTGTTCCTGAATGGATCCAAGAACAAAAACAGATATCCAAGGCCAGTAGAGCTTAATCTGAGGGGCTCCTGACTGCCGCTTGCCCTTGTTTTGCTGTCAGGTGCTTTTCCCTGGCAGGCTCAGGGGTTACAAGTGACAGTGTTCAAAAACTGACGCAGAGCCACTCCTGTGTGTTGGGGTCACTGGCACTTTCCTGGCTTGCACAGGTAGCTAGAAAATGCTTAAAATCCTAGGAGAACAACTGCATGTCTTTCTTTTCTCCTCCTGATGGCCTGTTAGCTAAAAAAATCCAGACAGGAGCAAGATAAATCTTTTTCAAAGTTAATGACCACTCAGCTGCTTTCTTCCACCAGCCCATGGGGCACCTCTCTAGGGACAGCTGCTGGCTTCCTTGTCACCCTGTCCCAGGGTGGTGAGAGCTGCAGGAACAGCTGCCCCTGAACTGGGGTATATATATCCCTGGGAGCTTTGGATCAAACCCAAGGTCCAGCAAAATTTTTCTGTAAAGGAGATAATAAATTTAAGGTTTTATGGGCCAAGGCGCAAGACTGAAGATGTTTGCTTCTTATAAAACAGTTTTCACAAAAATTTTTTGACAAAATTCAATAAATAATTGAGCACACATTTTTTTCTTTTGTAATATAGTTCTGTTATTGAAAATATAATTTTTTAGGGTGAGGGTAACATTTCATTTAATTTAGGTTCAATATCAGTGTTACCTACCATTAGCATGTTCAGTTATAAAAGCTAGTCAGTTGTAGCATATAAGCTGGATTTGCCTGTGGACTGTAGTTGGTTGACCCTTAATTTTCATCTACAAGTTTACAAATCCACAGAGGCTCCACTTATTTTTCTATAGACTACATAATTGATTTTTCCTGAACATATATGTCCTGCAAACAGGTATTCCTGTGATTAAGTAAACTACAGACTGATTTAAAAGGCTCCTTATAAAGTCATTTCTTGAATGCATTTGACAATCAACAGATACTATCACGTGGGGAGAAGGACCATATTTTTTTAATGTCAACAATGGATCATCAAACAAAAAACAAATTATGTCCAGAACTCCTGCCTTTGGGTAGATGCTGGAGTGCAGGACTCTGACTACTAAGAAAGGGAAGCCAGTGTTTGTAAAGTGCACTCCCAGTCTAAGACAGGTAATGCCTGTCTCAAAATCAGATGATGATGGTGAGGACAACATCAGCCTGGGCAGAGTGTCAGCTGAGGATAACTGCAGCATCATTTACCCAAAGCCTCTGTGTGCCTGGGCACAAGATCATGGATTCCCTCAACAGGGCTTCTCATCCTGAAGAACAAGAGTGTGGGGACCTGGCCCACTGAGCCTGGCAAGGGAGATGGGAGCCAATCTAGGAGGGGAGGGAAGTAGTGCATGATAAGCAAGCTTTTCTGAGGCCACAGTGTCCCATGAGCCATCACCCATGTGACTTCATTTATGTCTTCTGACTTAGGTCATTCATCTGGCTGGCTGTAGCTCCATGCTGTTCCTATCCTGCTGCTCTGCTTGCTGAGCAGGGAGGGCTCGGAGGCCTCTACACAATGGGCATTAATTCTCCTTTCCTTGAGATACTAACCAAGGGTCAGATAATCCTTCATTGTTAGACTATTTATCAAATATCAATATATTCCTATTTAGTTTTAGAATAGGCCTCAGAATTTGAAATCTGCTCCTGGACAGAAAACTTCTCCAGCTTTCATGACATTTTGCAATGCTTTCTTTTCCCTGAGTGCTCTTGGCTGTCCCCATTGGGAGAGAGCACCCTGCATTAGATGAAGCACCCACACCAAAAGCAATTGGAGACTTAGGCTGTGTTGAGTATAACTCTTCCCATTCTATTATCTGTGGATTAAGGGGCAGCCAAGGTAAGAAAACTAGGTATTATCCTCACAAGTGTGAATCTATCCGTTAGAGACACGACTGAAAAGTGTTGACTCTTAAAAGCAAACCATCCTCTCTTGAAAAGTGTGCTCTTAAATCCTGGGGAGTTAGTGAAGAGCAGACTGGACATGTACACTTTTTGTAGCTTTTGGTTAAATATACATAATCAGGTTTATGTAAAATAACATTATAAGAAATCATGCCACAAAAACCAAAAACACTCCCCCCAATTTGTAAAATGAAAAGAGAAAATGCTTTTCTTAAAGAAGTAATTGAAATTACTAGTTCCCCAAATATCATGCTGGGCATGTAACTTTTGTGAGTCATGTGAACACTCAGGTATCCCGTAGCACCTGTTTCTTGGCCATCCTGGAGGGTGGGTAAACTGTACAGTTTACTACTAGCACAGAAAATTAAGTTGTTCATTAAGAATGCAGAGCGCATTTAAAAACTTGCCCAGAAGTCAGAGGGAGTAACTCAGGCTCATTTAAAAAATGCGATCATTGCAAGAAAATGAGAAGTCATCTTATGCTCAGCATGGGCCTGAACAGGAGCTGCTCAGTATGGTTAGGATGGGAGAGTCCTATCTTCCATACTCAGCCTCCTTCCTGGTCTTTTTCTTTGGGCAACAGAAGCCTTGCCGGGCAGTAACTAGGTTTATTGATGCATGAGTTATTCTGTCCTTTTGAACAGATGTTAGATCACAGGAGACCATCATTCAAAGAGCAATTTTAGATTCTTGAATCCCACTACAGAATCATAAATTATTAGCATCACTCCATGTTGTGATGCTGAAATGTAAAAACAAGGGAAAAACACAGAACCAGAGCGTGATTTAAATTGTGAAATGCCAAAATTACCCAGACAGAAAAAGAGTATCCTATTATGAGAAAGAGATCATTAAGTGAAAAATCAAATGTTACTCTGCTGGATTCCGCTTCCCCCCGGCTTACTTACAGAATCACACTTTCAAAACTCAGACCTGTGAAAGAATTTCTTTCAACTTTGTGGATGTTTATGTTATCTTGAATGTCTCTAGAAGAAAGTACAGACAAATTAGATATTTGCGTTTACTCATGTAACCTTCCCACATTTGCTTTACTTGGCATAGTGTGAGTTTTAGCTAAGGTAATGTTTTAATATGGTTTTTGTTCAGAGGATAACGAACTCACAGTTTGGGAAACAAACTTGTCTTTATTTTTTAAAACTTGTCTTTAATAAGTGAGTTATTAAAGATGCACTGCAGACAAGCAGTGTCTTCTCTCTCTGCAGTTTTCTTAGCTAGTATCTCCATTTTAAGGTTATCAATAACGTAGTTGTTTGTTATCCTTGTTTCCACATTAGGTCTCTGCATAACATGACAAACACTAAAACTGTCACCTCCATCCCACCTCCTCTGTTCTTCTCAATCAGGCCTTCCTTCTCCCATCTCACTCCCCATCTTATAGGTCCTTCCTTCTATTTTCTTAGGTCACAGAACAATTGTATTGTTGAATTTTCTCTTCCTGAATTGAAGGATAGAGAAAGTCTTATCTTTATGTTTGTATTCCTTGTCCTTCCACCAAACTTCCCTGTTGGGTCTGATCTAACATATAAACGGAGAATTAGTAAACAGCTGGAAACAATTTGAGAAGTTCTAGAAGATTCTCCCTCTCTCCTGTCCCTTTGGGGTCTGTCCATATTCTTATAATTTCACTGTTGGAAATAAAGTTGCCATTATACATTGCATTTTCTCCTTCTCTTTCAAATTGTGGGTACCTTGGGAAGAGCCCAATGGATCATGTCACTGACACTTCAGTATGACTTTTTCAGATAATCTCTTTATGCGTAGGGTATCATAGAAGCTCTGGGGGAAGAGGAAGGATGGAGGGATATGGGGAAGTTGCAGGGGGCAGTAATAAAGCATTAATTAGTAGAGAGAGGGAGGGAGGGAGAGAGAGAGAGGGAGAGATAGAGAGATTGTGATTTTTCTACTTGCTTGCTTTGTTAGGGAGCCTATTGACTTCCTCCAGACTGAGGCTTGCCTGCAGGTCAAACTAAGGACCTTGCTGCTTAAATTCCTCCTTATGCTCATCCAGGGGAACACTTTGGAGGCTGGAGGCTGCTCATTGCATGTCAGAGGCCAGAAGGCTCTTGGGCTGAACAGTACTGGGGAGAGAAGGTAACAGCTTGCTGAGGTTTTCCAGCCTGAGTTTACCCTCAGAGCTCATGTGTAAAAAGCATGGTCCCCAGATTTCTGCTGCTGGGAAGTGATAGAAGCTTTAAAAGGTGGGGCTATGTGAGGTCTTTGGCTCTCTGGGGGCATGACTCTGAAGGGGATTGTAGGACCCTGGCTTCTTCCTCGTTTTGTCTTTCATTTCCTGGAAGTGAGGTGAATAGTTTTCCTCCCACCATAATGTGTTTCCACAGCACAAAGCAATGGGGGCAACCAATCATGGACTAAAACCTGTAAAACTTGAGTGAAAATATACCTTTTCTCTTTATAAATTAATTACTTCAGGCACATTTTTATAGTGACAGCTGATGGACGCGATGCTCAATGAAAAACTTACAGTAAAACCTTTTGTAGAGATTGAATCTTGTGAACAGCTGGCAAGTGCTTTATACCTGTGTTGGATATTAACCTAGAGAGGGAAAAAATGAGAATGAGGAAATATGAAGCTGCTAGTTAAACAGTTGTTAGAGTATGAACTTTCTACATACAAAATACCAATTTTGAAGTATCAGAAAAATCTTCCAGAAAATCCTATAAAATATCTGAATTATACTTAACATTTTAACTAGGCTCTAGTAAGCAGTTGATAGCTAAAAGCAAAGAAACTTAAACTTCAGGAACAAAGGACATAGTCTGCCACAACACATATATTTTTCCTAAACATCATTAAGTGAACATGATCCAAAAGTACCTTCCAAGTAGATGACAAAATTCCCCTAAATTATTCCCCATTTCCAAACGCAGCATGCTTGTTAGAAACCACCCCTTCCCCACTCCAAGTAATCATGTTGACATTTGAGCATGAAATACTATACCCTTGAACTCAAGAGTATGCATATAACCCAAGCTGACCCAGTCAGGCTCTCCAGGGAAGTGGCTGGAGGTTGGTTAGAGCTGAGTCATCTGCTGCCACAGACATGGTCTCTAAATTCCTATACCCAACAATTCCAGACCTACCCTGGATCCTTTCCAAGGCCTGGTTATTTTGGCTTGGCTTCCTTAGGAAGCAGAGCCCAAGAGCCTGACATGAAGGTTTTGTTGTGGGAATGTACTTTTGGTAAGATGAGTTCAGAGCTTCCAGGACAGGAAGTGTGAAGCAGGCATGGAGGAAAGCTAATCAATACCAGGATGAATTACTGAGTTGGCTACCACTGCTGGTGATTGTTCCTTAGTCTCAAGAACTAGATTAAGGAAATTTTCAAAACTTGTGTCAGCAGAAGAGAGTGAAGGGAGTGACTTATCCATAGACTCCTATTTCTTTTTGGTGAAAGGAGACACTGTGATATTGACCCCCAACTTCTAGCTTGGACATTTGTGAATACCTAGTGGATTCCTGATGGACATCTCTTACCATGGTGTAGAAGCAGGCCCAGAGTAGGGGGGAGAAGTATATAAAGCTAGGCTGGGTGTTTTCTAGAGCACTTATATTAACCTGGGTGAAATTTAGATTGGAACGAACCGCCACAACAGAGGTTAAGGTTCTCAAGTAGCTCAAGAGAATTATTTGACACACTGTTCTTTACCACTTCTTTCACTCCTGTGAGCCACTATAAAACTTCCTTGTATCTCTACTCCCATTTCCTCCTTCCGTGTCTGACTTATCTAAGCCAGAGTTGATCTTGAGTGCTAGAAACCTAAAAAACCTTAATGATACGTTCATCATTATAAAGGACTATGGGTCTCTTTGAGTTTATCACTTTTGGTGTCTTGTTCTCTGCTTTTGTATCTAGAGAACTAGTGAATCTGTTTATGGGTACTCAAATGGTTCTCAGATGTTTTGTTTCTGCATGGTTCCCAATGACCCATGTGCAATCCTCTTGATCAGCTTTTCTTTGTATTACTACCATAGCCCCTGAGATGGTCTCCTGCTCTTTACAGAGGAATGGATTATTATTATTTTATTATTGCTGTTGTTCTTAAGACAGCATCTCACTATGCAGTCTAGGCTAAGCTCAAACTCACAATGGAATTTAGGCTGACTTCAAACATATGCATCTCCTGCCTTGGTCTCCTGAATACTGGGATTACAGGCATGCATCCATGCCCAGCTAAAAAAGAATTGTTAATATACTCTTTTGGAGGATTTGTTATACTTTCATTCCTCTTTTTAAAATTTACATGCATAAAATGAACTTTTTGACATAGAGGTCTGTGAATAAGGGCAAATGCATATAGCCATGTGACCCCAGCATAATCCAGATACAGAATGGTACCACCACTGTCCAAATACACTTGTGTTTCTCCTTTGTAGTTAACCTCTTCCTAGACCTTCTATTCCTAGGACTACTTTTCTAGGTAGGTCAATTTTCTGTTTCTATAATTTTGCCTTTTCCAAAATTTCATATCCATGTAATCATCTAGTGGGTAAATTTAGCAGCTGGCTTCTTTTCACTTAGCATAATTCATTTGTGATTCTTCTATGTTGTCACGTATATCAGTAGTTAATTATTTTCAATTGCTAAGTAGTACTCTGTTCTATGAATGTTCCACAGTTTATTTATCCATTCACAGTTGGAAAGGTTTCTGGGTTATTTCCAGTTTTTGTGGAAAAAATATGTATTATTAGATGTATTTATGTTTATATATGACATATGTATAAAAGCTACTTTAAACATTTGTGTACAGTTTTTCATGTATGAGAAGGTAGGCTTTTGTTTTTCTTGGATAAATACCTAGGTGTGGGATTTTTGGATCTTATGGTTAGCATATGCTTAACTAGAAAATAGCTCAGCAGTTTTTTTCAAAGTGGTTATGCCATTTTGCATTCCCACCAGCAATGCATCCAATTCTTGTGTTTCTTTTGTTTTAAAGATATATATTCTCAGGGGGATGGGGAAAAATAAGAACCAAGACACATCATGTAAAGGTACAAGATCCCAATGATGAATGTAACTGTATTGTATACCTAAAATGTGCCCATAAACTTAATGAAAAAAGATATATATTCTTCACATATAATATATACTTATTGTGAGATTTATGAAAATGTGGAAACATCTACATAAGAAAGCAGAAATCACCTGTCATTTCATTACCCAGAGGTAGCTTCCATTAACATTTGAAGATTGAAGTGACTGCCAAAATAGCTTTCATGATTACTCTGCATAACCCCTGAGATTCTACTCATTCCCAACAGAAACCCTGCCATAACTTTAAACACTTGCTACATGACATAGTACTAGTCCACATTGGTTATTTAATCATATTTAGTCTTCTATTTTTAGGTCTCTTCCCATGTGTTTAGGCAGTATTCCCTTAATGAGACATCAAACCAGGAACCATATTTAATACTTTCTGACAATCTTCTTCTACTGTGTAGGTTTGGAATGCAGTATGTGCTCATAAAATACTAGGTTAATTGGTTGATGTTTCTAAAGCATTTCTTCTGTCACCAAGAATGCATCAAAATCCAGATTTAGTTGATTTACTTGTTAAGTATCACTACTATTTGGTGTAATTAGTTTTAAACAGAGGCAGGGAGGTCTACAGGCCAGGAATCAGTAGAACCTGCAGGGCAACTATGGCACAAATTAGATACACATCATCTCATCTCTCCAGGCCAGATAGGATGTGGACTGTCACTATCAAGGTAGACATTATATCAAATGTCTCTATGCCCCCACTTTACATCCCCTTGGTCCAACTTTCACTATAGTTGTTACCATGGTAATAAGCTACCATCCAATGTAACTTGGCAGATACTTCCCTCAGCTATGCTGGGTACTTTTTGTTTTCTGTCCTGGGCTTCTTTGCTGCCTTTAAGTGAGGAACTTACAGAAATCTATTCAATCATTCTGAGGCCTTTGCAAATCTGGAAGTGTTAGGTAGTTAACACCCATAGGAAATTCTTGACTAGTGACAAGCTCCCATCTTCCATTCCTTGGGTGAATAATTCTGGGTGTATTCTAGGTGATATCTTAGATGGCTTTAGCATGACTGAGCCCTAGTGGTGTTCCTCTTGATAATACGGTATTGAGTCAGATTTTCCTCTTTCCATTTTTATCTTTCTAGTCAATCATCCAAACCCTTGGCTTTGGATGCATAAGTAAACTATTTACATGTAAGTCTTTGCTCAAACTATTTTTTTTTATCCTAAGAGAAATTAGTATAAGACAGGTGCTGACTTGTGCTGAATTTCACATTTTGCACAAATCATCAATGGTAGTTATCTCCCTCTACCCCATGTCGGTCTCCAATTGAAGCCCAGTCCTATTTCTTTTCCTCCTTGAACAGCAAGACTTTCAAAGGGTTGTCTCTGCACATGCTATCTTCATTTTCTCTTATCTCACTTATCTTCAACCTGTTCCAATCTGTTTTTCATCTTATATCTCGTCACCAGAACATCTGTCATGCCAAAAATCCACAACCCACTACCTACCAAATCAAACATTAAAATTCTCATTTTATTAGACCTTCTGGGTCATTCAGCATTCTTTGTCAGTCTGTCTCTTTTATTGGTTTCTTTAGTGTTGTACTCTTATTACTCCTTCTCTGCTATAGTAGTACTTCGGTTCATGAACTTAATTAGTTCCATGATTCCAGAAAAGATGGCCGCCTTCCTGTTCCTGTGGAAAGATGGCCATGGTTTTGTTTATCACCCTATGCAGAGTTCACAAACAAAAACAAACTTTTACCAAAAGTTTCTGTTGGCAAAGCAAATCGTTAGCCAACAAAGGCATATGTGAACCGAGATACCACTGTAGAGTACTTTTTTGGTGCTCATTTTTTATTTCTCTTCCTCTATTGTACCTTCTGCTTTTTATGCTTTTTCCTTATATCTTGGCCAGGTAGAGAGATCTTTTTTCCAGTGGCCTTAAGCAGTGTGACTATGGTCACACCTGGGTTCATGCTTGCTTTCTGTCACTGAGAAGCTTGCTTCACATACTCTCTGGAATGTTTCATTGACATAGTCGGCTAAGCTTGTTTTGTTATCACTGCCACCAAACTGTTTCTCCTCCAGTCTTCTCCATAAATAGTACTACCATGCATCAGTTATTTGAAATTTGACAAATTTGGCCACTTTTCCCTTGCTCTTTAACATACAATCCATTTCAAAGTCTTCTTAGATTCCATTTCCAAAATAGATCTTGATTCTATGCAATTTTGTCCATCTCCATTGACACCATTCTTTTTTTTTCATTAAATTTATTGGTACATTTTAGGTGTACAATACAGTTACATTCATCATTGGGATCTTGTACCTTTACATAATGCATCTTGGTTCTTATTTCTTTCTCCATTCCCCTGCCCTCCCTTCACCCCCTCCACCCTTCCCTATTTACAAAGACTTTGTTTCCATTTTTTTCCTTTTCTTGTATTTTTTCTTTTCCCTTCTTTTCTTTTCTCTACCCCTCCCACTTCCCCTACTCCTTTAGACATTTTCTTCCTATTTCACAATATCATTTATAC